CTGACGACGAGGAGTTAGCCCAGCTAGGTATAGATCACCTGATAGATATTCCCAGTTGGACCGCACTACTTCAACAGATGAATGACTCACGTCGAATCACCAGAGATGTTACCATGAAGGAGTATATTGCTCTGTGGTGCGATCTGCCTGATAAGGCGCGTAGCAGTCTCACCAGGAGAACTAAGACTATAGAAGTCATCCGTGTAGGGGATTTTGTCCGCATTCTGAGACCTAAGCAGCCTGCCTCTGAATGCACTATTGTCGTATCTGTTCGCGGTAGTGTGATACGCATTGTTGATTCTTCTTATAGAGTATCGGATGAGTATATTGGAAATATCGTGCTGGCTGAGAATGATCCCCCAAATAAAAATGTTCTTCTTGAATGTAAAAAATCCTATGATCGGGACGGTAGTTTCCCGGATCTACCGGCGATTGCTGTGACTCGAGAATTGCAGCAAAGTGAGATCGCTGACGCTTCTCTTCGTATGATAAATCTGATCGAAAAATTATCAGCTTTACCTGTATGCTCACCTGATAATCTTACTATCGACTCAACCGTCGTGATTTTATGTAACATCGACGGACGCCCAACCACTAGCTTTTGGCGCGTCTCATCACGTGACCAGCACTCGGACGTTTGGAATTTATCGGAAGCTAATAGTGCTGGAGAATTATTAAATGATGGGAGGACTCTTTGTTCCATCTCCGAGATGGAAGTGCGCGGCCTGGCAGCCGCGGGCGCGAACGCCCAGGATATGCGCATCTAAAACTGTCAGCCGTTTCATTTGAACTACTATGAGTATTGCAGAGAGGAACTAAAGTTTTACTAGAGATTGATTATTCGGATTATCGCTTAACTACTCGTTGGCTATAGACCGATTGATCCTCTAGTGTCTGCACTAGACTCTGTGATTGTGACTAGTAAGACCACTACTAGCATTTGAGCCACTACTACTAGGACTATGGACTACTATTGCTCAAGCTATAGAAGCGTGCCTTTGTGTTCGACTAGTGGTTTGGTCTACTCGGATTCAGTTCTTACGCGGCAAAGTTCCTCCCGACCTACTAAGCCTCCGCCGAGCCGCGCATTCTACCGGGATATGTGGTATCTTCAGCCGAGCTATTTACGGTGCTCCACTACTAGTGACTACGTTTGTTAGACGCCCTCTTCACTACCGAGACTGATCACCTCTGGTTTGGGAAATGGCCTCATGAACAACTACATTGACGACCTACTACAGTCACTAGTGATGAGAACATCGACAACGCTTCGGTCTGGTTCCCTATGTGTATTACAGTTGAGGTATACTAGTTAAACACTTCTTCTGTAATCACAGACGACATGGTAGACATGATGGTGGGGAAACCTTCCGTGTAGTCTACTACTCCACTACAAGCAGGACTAGGTATTCATTGCGTAAGCAATGGATACCACGGAACCAGAGATACCGCTATCCCACTACTGAACTCACCATAGACCAGAAGATGTAACTGACGAGTTATATCTTCGTCACCTTCACTACTACTTTCCGTACGTTCTCGAGAAGATTAGTCTAGGACGTCCATCTGCCAGTTGGGGATGACTACTCTCTTGAAGACGGATCGTAGAATGTCAACAAGCTGGGTGTATTAAGCAGCTGCAAACTACATGCAGACAACCGACCCTATCACTTATTATTCAACTACTTGGTCGGCTACTACGTGCATCTGCGACTGTACTCGACGGGGCGACATTAACTTTGACTATTTGGTTGGTGTTGCTACTAGCAAGATAGACCAGTGGGGTACTTCACTTGATGTTGTGTCTCATCCCATCGGACTATCTAACAATACCTGCCCTATATAATGATGTCACACTGCCAGATGGGGGTGACTAGTTGTATCAGGAAGGATGTGGAGAACCTCTACTACTCAGGAGCGCTTGGTTTTGCGCTTGTTCTTGATTTTGACTCTGAGTACTATGCTCTCTATGTCACGTCGAGTACTGCCCACTAGTAGCGTTCTGCGCTTTGGTATTTGGCAATGAACGTCGTTCTTGAATTTGATTACTAGTCGGCTGTGGTTTTTACTACCCGGTTCCATCGTATTGGTGACGCTCTTATTCATGGTATTGGTCTAACCGATGGTTAAATTCCGCGCCAAGCCATGTTACTAGCGTTCGGTCTTGACTTTGACTACTGGTACGATGGCATAATGACTACCCCGGTTTTGCTTCAACCCGTAGTTGGTTATCATCCTACTGATAACCTTATTTAGTCCTACTACGACAAAAAGCACTATCTGGTTTGGTCCTTTGGCGTGAGTTAGTCAGACCGTTGACTCACGTAACAGTGGTCTTGGTTTTTTGATCACTACAGGCCTTGACTTTGGCCGCCTGTCTAGCCTTGACTTTGGCAACGACACAACTACCATTTGCTTGATTTTGCTCGGTAGTTTTGACCTTGGTTTTTTGGTCCCTACTTTCCGGCCTTGGTTTTGGCCCTCCCATTCATACCTGTTAAGATGACTGTACAATTTATGTCAATATCCACTACGAGAACGGTCTGAGTCTGTACTCAACTTCGGTGCCATTTTTTGTACTATTGCCCTTGAGTTGGCAATCGAAGATGAATTACCCTCAGCGTTCTTTACTTGTTAAGAAGTAATGCTCACCACTAGCAACTCTGCCAGTGAGAACTCTGGTGCTAGCAACTACGGTCTACGTGTCGACGAAGCTGCTCGCAATGGTATCAACACCGACGACGAGACTGGTGTCCACACCCAGACTGATAACTACTATCCACCAGTTGATGGCCCATGGCCACAACAGGGTTATAGTGGTCCAGATTTCCCTGGTACCACTGATAGAAATACTCAGCACCCTATTGGTCCTACGACTTACGAGGATAACTACCGTCGTCATCATCGCCCTCCCCTACAACGCCAAACTCGTGAGGCTAGTCCGACAGGGGTCACAGTGTTCCTTAGGGACCAACGTGGCCAACCGCCGGTAGTTAGCGAACCACGACAAGCACCACTACCCTCCTATCATGTTCCTTCCGGAGACTACAGTGGCCAACAAGTGCCCCCTCCGGCTACTCATCCACCGCTCTACGGCGGTGCTCCATACACCCAACTAGACTATCGTGGCCAACCTGGCAACTACAACTACGTACCCCCACTTCAACAACCTGTGCACTTGGGAACTCCCTATGCTCAATACACTAACCTACCCTACTACCCCGGTAACTATTCTAAACACGGACCACAACCACCACCTCAAGCCCCTCCCAGTATGTTTTACGTTCCTCGCAAAAGAGGCACGTACCACTATGGTTGGTGCGAGGGTTGCAACGACTATAACTGTTCTAGCCAGATCACTATCAAGGACTATGACTCTGCTGCCTAGTCACTCAAGTCCAAACACTACTTACCGAAGCTCTCTGGCAACTGGTCGGTGTAGACATTGCTGGCCCCTATGACAGGCGATCAACTACGAGGACTGCTAACCCCAACTCAGTCGACGGAACCGACAAAGACCACTACATTATCCTAGTGCGCGACTACGTCAGTGGTTTTACGGTTGGACGTCCTATGCGTAACCGTAAGGCCAATACCGTCGCTAACATACTAGACAGGGTGTTCTTGGAACATGGGAGTCCCGCAGCACTACTCACCGACCATGACCGTACTATACTATCTAGTGAAGCCGTTAAACTGGTATTGGCACGACATGGCACTAAACACTATGTACTGCCAGGTTACTCCTATCATTTGGGATTTTGGGAGTAGCCCCCCTTTACTATGATTGTCAACTAACTACTGTGACGGATTACTACATTCCGATAGCAATTTTTCATGCTTATCAGAGGTTGTACACCTACTACAAGACCATCTTCCTCAGTGTCATCACTCGTGAAGCTACTAATGCTGGAGACTACGATACCCTTGTCGAACTCAAGTCACTAGGAGAAGTCTTGTCTACTGCATACTACAAGCATGAGTTCTTTATTCAACTATTGGCCGCTGATACTACTGAGGATCTGGTCCGTATCGAAGCACTACGTATCTGTGAGCTAGAGTGCTACTACGGTTCTTCCGGTGAAGTCGATACTAGTATGACGAACTAGATGATGATGATCGATGCAAGTTAGACTAGATTATTTGGATAGCTGTGATAACTACCCCCTTTTTTTTTGTTGACTACTGCTATATTTTTTTTTGATGATTATCGGTAGTACTAATTATCGGTATGTACTAGTTTATGATGCAACTATCTATGGTACTAATACCACTAGCATTGCTAGCAATACTAGTGTATTAGCGTGGCCAATGCGCGGCCTGGCAGCCGCGGGCGCGAACGCCCAGGATATGCGCATCTAAAACTGTCAGCCGTTTCATTTGAACTACTATGAGTATTGCAGAGAGGAACTAAAGTTTTACTAGAGATTGATTATTCGGATTATCGCTTAACTACTCGTTGGCTATAGACCGATTGATCCTCTAGTGTCTGCACTAGACTCTGTGATTGTGACTAGTAAGACCACTACTAGCATTTGAGCCACTACTACTAGGACTATGGACTACTATTGCTCAAGCTATAGAAGCGTGCCTTTGTGTTCGACTAGTGGTTTGGTCTACTCGGATTCAGTTCTTACGCGGCAAAGTTCCTCCCGACCTACTACGCCTCCGCCGAGCCGCGCAATTTCGTAGAAAAATGTCCGACTCTTGGTCGTGTCGTTCTGGTAGGGTGGTTCGGTACGAACCGACCCTAGAAGTATCCATGAGAGAAAGCCACTCAGAGACACTAAGTCTTGCGTGTTAACACTCTCTTCGGTACTTGCTCCCGGAAGTGGTGGAATTTGGGTGAATCAAAGAAGCTCCTTTGGGCCTTGACCATACCACAATTTCCAGAACTTCTAGTATAGTACTATTCATTCTAACAATCAGACTCATACGCGGGCCTTAGCAGCTTCCCTTCCAGTTGTAGTTCCAATGTACTGTGAATCACAGTCTATAAGCCAATCCCAAGGACCCCCTCTACCCTTACCAATCGTACAGCCACCAGATGTCTACTACATGCCCCGAGGTCATGTCCAAGCCTGGCAGCATAACCCGGTATACACCAGTGTGAGATCCGTGTATTATCGTGTTGTTCGTCCAGGCTTATCCCTCGACCGTCCATTGGGGCCCTACTATGATCCCTTTTAGTCAGCAACAACAACCCCATGACGTAAGTTAACCCTGTTGTTGTTAACCAGTAGGGAACTCAAGGAAATGATTAATGGAATTCAGAAATTCTATCTACAATCGCACTCATAAAATTATCAACTAGCTTCACGCTAACGCTAAGATTCCATAGTTGTGCACTCCGCTCAACTACACCGCTCAATTCAATTCAATTCAAAGCTGTTAATTAGCGAGTGTTATGTTACATCTGAGCGTATCACTCATCAGTATCAACCGTATAGGAGACCTCGTTGATAACGAGGTCGTCGAGGCTCGACGTTGATAACGAGTCGTTATCACGAAGCAGCTCTCAAGGAGCCTCGTTCAAGGAGATGTAGTTTTTCTAGTACTTATTACGAGACTACGTAACTATTTGTTTTTCTTACGTAATTCTTGTGCTTTGTAGAGCTCCGAAACGGATAAACTCAAAGCTGCGTTGAGTGGCGGAAATCCGAACCCGAACCTTGCAAAAGAGCCTTCCAACGAGGTAGGTTGCCGATTGTGTTTTTTCTCCCCGACTTGTCACAGGTTGTTGTTCAAAACCCCAAAGAGATTCCGGTTGCTGGTAAAAAGAGGGCCAATGGGAATGTGAAGTTCGATCCGGATCACATGCTGAGCAGTCCAGAGCCTCTTGCCTTGTTGGGAGGAAAAGTGAAGTGTTATTCTGTGGTTAATACCAACGATGGAGGTACGTTGCTGTAGTGCTGTTGTATGTGTCTTGATACTGGTGTTGGAATATATATTCTCTCTCTCCTCGCTTCTGGTCAGGAGTTTCCTCACTAATTGTGAAAGCTTACTTATGAATTCGCGCGCAGAAATGTACATGAAATTAATAATAATTCTCCGAAATTATTTTCATATTGTTATCAACATATGTAGTTGATGATGTGCGTATCTCTTTTCCCAAACTGTACTGACATATGTGCTGACCTATGACCGGAGCGCAGCCGTTACGATTCTGTACAGCAGGCAACTGTCTTTAATCACATCTTCTCCGATATAGGGGTTTTTACAGGTCAATATTACCGTTGTGCATTGTGTATGAAACTACAGCTGTTCAAGACAGTTGACGCCCTTTCGAGACACCAATCAACTCAAGCATGCAAGATGGCCGCATCAAAAGCCCAGGCAACTGAGGAAGCT